TATTGATGTAGTTAATTAGACAATTATTAAGTTGTTATTCTAAATAAATCAAAAAGGATATTATTCAAAAGTGGATATAAAAAGATAAATGTAAAAAAAGAGAATTATTATATAATTAATAATAAAAAAATTAAATAATTTATAACAAAAAATTTCAGAATTTTTTAAGTAATACTTCAAAAACAAACAATTGAATAAAAAAAAATAAAGAAATATACAAAATAAAATAAACAGAAATTAATTAAATATTAAGTTTTGAGAAAGAATGATATTTGATAATTCATTTGAAGATTTTGGAATTGTAATTATAGAAGTTAATGATAATTGGGAATTAATAAAAGAATTAATCAAATAACCTCTTTCAATAAAGTCATTAATATCCATAATTAATCTTCCACCATAAAAAATTTTTTCAATTCTTTCAAGGCGTAAAGTTTTTCCAGTATTACGAGCAAGTTTAGATTCAAACTGAAATCCTTTTTCTCTTAAAAGATCAATAAGAAGATGTTGAATAAAGATCTTTCTATTTTTTTCAAATCTTCTCATTGCTGTTTGTTTTTTTTTAACAAGTTTACATTCATCTTCATAAACTGGACGTTGAATAATATCAGCAAGTTCTTGCACATTAATTTCTTCATCATCAAATTTAAGACTAATTATTTGAGGATATGGAAGATTTCTAATTGATTGTTTCTTTTGTCTTTTTAAAGTTATTGTACAAAATCCATTTAAGAATGATAAAAGAATACTTTGTTGAATAACATAAAATTCTTTATAATCTTCTTTACTTTGGAAAAAGGGATGTTCTTGTTTTCTTTCTGGATTTCCTTTTGATTCTCTTGGAGTTTTAGGAATAGTTGGCATTTGTTTCTTTGATTAGATGAAATAAAGATTCTGTGTAAATCTTTTATAACCAAATTTCTACTTTTAGATTTTCTATTTTTCTATATATTTTTTGGGATTTTTCTCTCATCTCTTTCGAATTTTCCCAATAATTCAATAGCGAAAATCAAAAAACTTGCAAATCCGCTCATTTAAATAACAGATCATTTCTATTTTTAGAATTAAGATGTACAATAAAATTTTTTTTTTACAAAAAGTAATTGACAAAATTTGTGTTGTACTATATTTATTTCATTTATCGTATTTTTAATTGCGAAATATCTATTATGGAACAAATAGAT